TGACGTTTTCTATTCGAAAAGAATAAATTGTCTACCAATTGGTACATTTAATGAGAATAATAATTCTTGTTGAATGTACCATTTGTAAGTGAGTTGATCTTACCTGAAACATATGTGTATGCGAGTGTTTCGTTTGTGAATCTTATATTAGTTTGACAATTTTAACTTCTATAGACGACACTTACGCTCAAACAAACTTACAAACGCAACCATATCTGTTGTGAGAAAGACATCTTTCAACATAACGGTAATAAGCTATTATCAAGTATTCACTCCGTTATTAAAAGTCAAGTTGTTATTTTATAAACGGAACATTTAGATGCTCATACTCTGCAGCTCACACATAAATCAAATGAAATTGTTCTTAAATATTCTAAACATTCAGTAGAATAAATCTTGGTTAAGCTACTATACTGTGAAATTTATAATTAGAATATTTTTTTAGTAGACAAATGCGTCGTCATCCGGTAAAAAATACCGTTATCCATGAGGTGTATTATAGGGATAATTTACCAAGCGGATTTTTAAATATCCATAATACTTATAATTTTTATAAGATCTTACATAATATCATTCCACGATCTATCAAGATGTCACCCATAGCAAACATCATTCAACATGTTCTAAGTATGGGTATATTATTTGTGCAGTTATGTATAGTTTATGTATGCTTCTTCTATCGTAGAGATCAGACGTCTCCAAACTACGGCCCGCGGCCGAATATGGTCCGCGAACAAGTTTTAACCGGCCCGTGACCTGCATAGGACGCATAGATAAATATAGATATATAATATATCAATAAATATAAGATAGGTATGTGTAATTCAAAAAGTCGTTATCGCGGGCACGTATCATAAAAATGTATGAACTGAAATTATTTTATCTAGTTATTTATATAAGTTAAACTCAATATGAGAGAGCCACATTGATGAGCGTTACAACAAAATCAATCCACAACGTTTGTTTATTTACCTATGCGGCTACGTCTGTGCAGTGCAATGTATTTTAGTATTTATTATAAATATTATCTTTACCTACTAATTTAATATTCATCAAATCAACATGTCAGGAAAGGGGATTGAAAAGGAAAATAGATTCAGAATGTCGTGTTTTCAATGAAAAGTGGTCGTTGGATTATTTGGTTATTTATTCAGGTAACAAAATAATATGTTTAATTTGCAAAGAAAGTATTTTTATACTTAAGGAGTACAATATTCAAAGGCATTATGAAACTAAACATATGACAACTTTTTCCAAATTTACTGAGAAATTACGTTTAAATAAATTGCAGTCACTTCAAAATAATTTTTCATCACAAGAATTTTTATTTAAAAAACAAATTAATATTAATGAAGCTGCTACGAAAGCTAGTTTTCATATATTACATTTATTGTCAAAAAGAGGAAAAGTGAAGGAAACTAATGGTAGTTTAATAAAAGAATGTATAATTCAAGCAGTTGAAGAAATTTGTCCAGAAAAAATTGATACTTTTAAAAATATTAGCCTTTCTGCTAACACTGTTACTCGTAGAATAGAAGGTATTAGTAATAATTTTAATTACCAGGTTAATAACAAGATTAAAGAATTCATTTCGTTTAGTATAGCACTTGACGAATGAACAGATGTATCTGATACGTCATAGTTACTTTTATATATTCGTGGTGTTAATAAAGATTTAGAAATTTCAAATGATTTACTTTCTGTACATAGCATGCATGGACTTACGATAGGTATCGACATATTTAAAGTTGTCGATAAATCATTTTTAAAGAATAATTTGAAGTGGGAAATTTTTAAATGTATCACTACTGATGGCGGAAAAAACATATGTGATAAATAAAGGTTTAATTGGACAGATATTTACGAGTTGTGAAAAAGAAGGTTTTAAATCAATGACTTTGTATTGTATTATTCATCAGCAGGCATTATGCGGAAAGACTTTAGACTTGTCTTGTGTTATGGATCCAGTAGTTTCAACAGTAAATTTTATTCGTTCGAGCGCACTTGGGCATCGTCAGTTTCAAAATTTTTTCAAAGAAATAGAACCAGAGTACCCAAATATACTGTATTTTACAGCAGTTCGATGGCTTAGCCGTGGAAAAGTCCTATCGCGATTTTTTGGGCTAAGAAATAAAATATTTCTAATTGAAAAAATCGACCACTGCCTTTACTTACAAATAGTGAGTGGGTTCGGAAATTAGCTTTTTAGTGGATATCACAAAACATATAAACGACTTCAATCTCAAGTTATAAGGTAGAGATGTTCATATTTGCGATATTTACACATTAGTAAAAGCATTTAGGCAAAAACTTATTTTATTTGAAACACAAGTTTCAAAATATTGTTTTACTCATTTTTTACGAGTACTTGCGATAAATATAATAAAGAATCTAAAACACAATTTCCAATTGAATTCGCTCAAAAAATAATTTCTGAATTAAAAATTCAATTTAAATAATGTTTTTCTGATCTTGACGAAAAATCTGAAGACATAAATATTTTTCAAAATCCGTTTGGTTGTGATATTGAGAAGTTACCTCCTACCCTTCAAATGGAAATAATTGATTTGCAGTGACTTTAGTTGATTTTTATAAATTTCTACCAGATACACAATATCCAAATTTAAAAAAAATTGCTATTGATTATATATCTATATTTGCTACAACTTTTTCCAAAATGAAATACATTTAATCAAAATATAGATCAGCCATGACGGACAAACATTTGGAGGCGATTTTGAAAATTGGAACTAGTGACATATAACCTTAATTCGATAAAATACTGGCAAAAAAATATCAATTTCATAATTTTCATTAATAAAAAAATTATTTCAAAAGTTGAAATCTTATATTATATTTATATTTATTTTTATTTAAATATATTGTAAAGTAAACGATATTTTATAAAAAAAAATGTAAAGTAAACATATTTATTTACCTATATTTACCTATATTTTCATAAAATTTAAAATTATATCTGTTAATACATTTTTGGCCCACTAAGAGCATTTGATTTTTTTTGTGGCCCTTAAATAAAGTTTGGAAATCTTTGGTATAGATGATACAATATTACTGTAGTAACTACATAACCCATGACTACTCGATACGTTTAAAATATAAACTATTTTAGTAAGATATATCGAATATGTATAGCTAAATGTATGTATATAATGTAATGTATGTAGCTGAATGTATAGCTAAATCGAAATGTAATTAAACTCAAAACCCAAGCGAAATAAAATCGTACGAATTCTATGAACCATGAAAGTACTTCGAACACAATTATATTATAATGTGTAATAGTTGATTTAAATATTATACTACGTTCGTTCTGTGCTGTAGTAATAAATAAATGCTGTATAAATAAGAATCGTAATAGGGAACGCCATACAACTAATAGTCAAACATAGTAGTTGTTTAGTTTTTTTTTCGAATTCAACCGTATATGTACAACAGTATTAGTAATAATAATAATAATGATTAGTAGATTATTTGTTGTGCCGTTGATAAGTTTTACTGTATTATCTCAATAAAACGTTTTACGTTCGTAAATAATATGCACGGAAACGACTGTTGGAAGTACGCGGTTTAGTGGTGGTGATCGTCGACAGTAATTTAATTCCGTACGACGGATACAGCGCGCACGCATACCTACATACGTATACGTATGTGCATGTGCCACTGCACGTCCATATTATTAATGACCCTCAACGCTGATTAATTCAGTGTTAATGTTTTATTATTTTCACTTTGAACGCAACAATAATCCTTTCGTTTGGTTCGCGCGCTGCTACGTTACGACCGCCGTCCCCGAGGGAAAATTCTACGACGATCGGTCAACGTCTGCGCCAACATATATACGTAGGTACCTTCGAAACAAAGTACGGGTGGTGATCATTGGGCGCGCGCAGAACGTTTTGGGAAGCCAAAACGAAATCTAAACCGTTTGCCGAGCGTTCGGGTGTAAGTACTAGGCGCGTACGGTTAGTTGGTCACGTCCGTTTACCCTCGACAACGATCGGCCGCGGTATAAATTTGATACATCCATCGGCCACGGGGAAAGGATCGATCGAGATGGACGCGAGAAATCGGGAAGAAGCACAATGACAACATCAACGGTGACGACGACAAAAATTCTGGTACCAAGAGGACGGAAAAAAACAAACAAATAAATAAACTTTATACGTGACGTACGCGGTATGCTCCGTCGACTGTCTGAAATCCCAGCGCAGATCTTATTCTACTTCATTTTATTTTAGATATTTTATTTTTAAAAGTCAATTATTATATACTTGTCCATTGTGGCTGCAGTGGACGACGATTTACGATTACTTAGAGTGATATGTCTGAAAAAAAAAATTATTACAGCCGAGCGACGACCCATCGGTATAAACAGTTGGATAGAATTTTCGCTATAAAAAAAACTGTACCATGTACTATTACGCGCCGTCGGAAATATGTCCTGTGCGCGTACAAGACTATAAAACACATTTGGTCTTAGATGACTGGTTATTTGTACCGGGGGGGCAAGAGAAAACTCGTGCGCCAGCGGGAAATTTAAAGATAAATTGAAAGTCACCTAACCTTTCGGAAAAATATTTTTTAGTTCTTTCGAAAAAATTATTTCACGAGATTAAATAAAAATTGATAAATAACGGAAATAGTGATTTTTTTTTTCGATTTATATACATAAATAAGAAATAATAATAATTTCATAGTAGGCAAATCACTCAAAAAATTGCTAGTTTTCATCGAGCTGTTTTGTATCTGTATATATTTTCTATTAAAAATATAACGTGGGAATAATAGTTTTATTCGAAAATGATATAACTAAGGTAGACTTGCATGTTCGTCATGCAATATTCTTGAATAACAATGAGTTATTATTATACTATATATTTTTATAATCGATGTAAAAAATCTATGCATTAAACTCTTAATATTTTATTCAGATATATTCAGTATATTATTTTTCTAACAATTAAAATAAACTGACGTACCTTACTATAACAGGTTTTTCACTGCCAGCTACGAATCCGAATCCCAGTTCATGATGTCTTTTCAAAGTAACGAGTCTAGGTTTCGGGCTCTCCTCCACCAAATCAGTCCTAGGATCTTCATAGCTGGTTGTTTTTGTGATGTGGCTAGAGGGGAAATCCATAATATTTATTATACCTACTCAATAAAAATATATAATTTTATTTATTTAAATGGCCATTGAAAAATTGACAACACAAAGCAACAAAATTATTTTATATAGTAAACAATGATTAATATACATAACATAGTTTTGTTTTGCGGATTTACAAGTTGAACACATGATTTTAATATTGAGAATAAAATGTTTAATGTTAATACGTTCAGTTTTGAACAAGAACATTAAATCTCTAGTTTTATTTTTAATGTTATCATAATCAATACTATAAATGAATAAATAATTAAAATAACAGTATGTATTGTTAATCGTTTAGTATTGATTAGATACATATAATCTAAATGTGATTTTTTTTTTTAGGGATTTTAGCATCAAAAATACAATCAATGTATATTTAATCATATATTATGTGTAGGAGCATAAGCTTAACCGGAGCCAACCGACCAGCAAACGATCAACCACTCTGCCATGTCATGTCCTATTAATGTCAACATAGCTAACTATCTGTATACATATACATATACATATATATATTGGTGAATGTAAAAATTATTTGTTTTGAATTTAATGTTTCCGTAACGAGTTTTGAAACGAATTCGATAAATTATATTCTTCGACAGATTTATCATGCTATATAATTTTATAATAGTATTTTAGTATTTATTCTTAATCCACTGTCTACACAATTATATTCGAATAACCAGAATAATAGTGTTGGATATCCATTTATTTCCAATGAGGTCGTTAACTACTTTTTATCCTAGTACACATAGACACAAAAAAGTAAACATAAGAAACGTCAGAATAATAGGTATAGCCGTCTCATCAAAACAGATAAAATACCATTAATCAATGGAAGTATTTTAAATTACAAGGTGAATGTCAACTTATATTAGTGCAAATATTTTATTGTTTTTAACAATTTATATATAATATAATATATAAATATATGATAATTTAAATAAACTTTTCTTTATTAAAATAATATAATACCAAATAAAAATATAAATAGTTCTTTTTTATACACCTAATTTAATGTATGTTTAACAAACATTTCTCCATTTTATATTATGTATTGATAAGTTTACAATATTTCTATTCTAAAAATTTTAAAATTATTATATTTTTACAAATTTTTGGATTAAACGAAAATACTATAAGTACGTTTAATTGGTGTCTGTTACTGGCGAAATGATAGTTACACGAACTCCGATGGTTTTTAATGTTTAATTATTTAATTTCACAATATTGGTAGAAATATGCTTCATCTAAACGCCATTATAAATACTATTTATCAGGGATTGATCACCGAGTGTAATTTGAAATTTTTGAATTAGTTCATTTCTGAGAAACTGTTGATCTTAAGTGTCATAGTATATTTGATATACACTTGGAATAACATAAATGAATGCACGACGCTTTTATAGTCGGTATTAAAATAAAAGAAGATATAAAATTCATAATAACAGACATATATATATATATATATATATATATAATGTTTCAAGCAGCAAATGTTTTTTCAATCGATAGTATAATATGTTTTGAGACATTATTATTTATTCAATTGTATCACATTATAATATTTCTAAATGGACTAAAAATCTGAGTTGTATTTTATTATATTATGGCATAAAGTGCGACAATATGATATATCATATCTTTATGAAATACAGATTTTCGACGACGATTCGTACAAGTATACCACACGTGTTTAATATATAATATACATATATTTAAGTTTGCATGTATGGTAAATCATGTGAAATATTATACTACAAAATAAAAAACCATTAAAAATAATTGAACTACTAAACAACCGAGAAAAATCGGTTTATAGTATATTAAAATAAATGTAAAATACTGTAAGAAAAGCGTTCGATCGATGGTTATTATACTTGGTTGGTTATCAATGTTATACATCAGTGGTTCTTAATCGGAGTGATATGTCCCCAAAGGTGACATGGACCAAGCGTAAGGGTAACACGAAATATCCACGGTAAAAGGAAAAACAAATAAGAAAATAATTATTTTTTTTAAATAAAATTATATTAAATTGTCACTTCTGCGATATAAATAGTATATCTCAAAATTCGTACCTTTATATTATTTATATTTTGTCTATATTACACAATAAATATTGTTTATTATTTTGATGTTATGGCGACACAGTGATTTTAGGGACTAAATGTAACACAAATCAAAAAAGGTGATGTACACATCGTCAAAATAGGTAAAGCATTTTTAAAACTCGTAACCAACTAACGGATATCATATGCTTTTAAAAAATGCATTTTTACTTGAAATCGTTATTTATTGTACTAATAATATAACATTCTAAAGTGAGTATAAAAATCTTGAAACATTATCTGATAACATTAAGTACAGTAAAAAAACAAAATATAATAAGCGGCTTTTTATAAAAATGAGAAAAATTAAATTTTAAAAATATATGTTATAATAATTGGACTAATAATAAGTAAACAATAAACAAATTAAACTATAAAAAGTATTGACACAAATAATGAGGGCTTAGGGATCTTAGATTCTCCAAATTACAGCAAATTATAACTACCCCTCCCCCAAAATTAAGTATTAAGTCAGTTATAAGAAATTTTATATAATTACTTTATTTTTATCAGTTTAATAGGGTATTATGATTTAAAATGTTTGGCTATTTGCGCCTATGATAACAAGTATAGTTTAAAACATTAAAAAACGAAAATATTGAGCAATACCTTTTTTATCCGATAGAAATGATTCGACAAATTAAATTATTCATTTATAAAACACAAATTAATAAAATGATTGGACTCGCGTACTAATCGAATTCACTGGAAAACAACAATGATTATACGATTATAACGATAATCATACAAAATAAAAATCAAAAATGAAAATACTCTCTTTCACTATTTATAATACCTATATCAAAAAATGTTTACATAGAATTAAATTTTATTTGCATTCGAAGACTATTTAAAGATTAAATTTTCCGTAAGAATGATTTTAAGTTCATTTTTATAGAAAAGAATGGTGCATGAAAGAAACACACTTTAGGTTTCCTAGAACTTATAAATATTGCTGTGAAAAATATCCTTCAACCAAAAAAAACTCGTTTATACATGAGCAGCTGCGGGAAACTTTTCAGTTCTCAAAGTTTAGTGTGCTTAGTAAAATAGATATACGACCGAAAATGATACGATCTATACTTTCCAAGTTGAATAATCTTAAGATTGATGTTTTTTCTTGTGTATCAGAAGTTTTATTGAGTTTAAGAAAATAAAACTATTTTTGTGTAACTTAATTTTTCATATTATAAATATCTAATTTTTATTATAATTAATTACACTGGTTTTTGAAAATTATCAAACAAATTAAAATTATTTTATGACAGTTGAAGGACGCCAAGACCATAAATTAATATATGATACTCGTAGAATATTATATAGTTACCTGTCAAACCAATATTTTCACTCAAATTTTCAGATAGAGTAATGTACTATTAAACTATTTCATAACCTTTATATTTAGAGCAATTAATATAGTTATCCTATATAGAACTTAAATATTATTATCATAATATAAAGTTTTATAATTAAAAACGTAAAAATATCAGTATAGGTATATTAAATGTATTATTTTACACTTTAGAACACCAATGCAAGTCACGATATATTCGACTTTATAATAAGATATTAAAGCTAAAGATATAATTAACATATTAATTATGCAATTAAATTATAAATTCGCTCTTCGTAATAATAATAATAAAATGTTATCTAACAAAACAATACATGTTTTTAAGTATTGAAGTAAAATAATTAATTAAAAATTAATTACGCATATGTGCACTCTGAATACAAGAATATATATAAATTGAGAATTATTCTTTAAAATAATTAACTCATTTTTATCGAAAACTGAAATAAATACGTAAAGTAAATCCGCGATTATTGTTAAATTTGTTTTGTTTGTCGCACGCGCAAATCCTACACAACGATAATTAGTGCATTTGGAGTGTATATTACAGCACTGCTTTAATTTACCGCACATAGGGTGCACATAAATAGCTGATAACAATAAAAATATATGGTTGCGGTATGAATATTTTACGTACAAAAATAACATTATAGTTGGTTATCTTTTTACATAAAAACGGGTGAATTAAAAAAGAAGAAAAAAAAGATGTACACTGTTCGCGTCTATTACTTTTTTTAAAAATAACTTCTGTTTCCTAATTTTTAATTTTAATCTGTTATTCCTGCTCTCGTCTTCGTTACTACATAAAAACCGATGACATAGTCATGCGTGAGAACACACCGTATCCCCGAGCACACATGTAGTACTACTACTACCACCCGCACTAGCACTACTCGGGGGTAGTTTTTTCATATAAATATATGTATGCACGTACACATGTAAAGTATATATATATATGTGTGTGTGTGTGTAAGAGACCGAATGTGCAAAACGTAACTCATTAAAAACATTGTATGTACGGCAAAGTGGATGGAAAAATGTGCTCAGCTGCACGCGGTCATGAATGTTTGATTACGTTGTGCGGCACTACAAAACGTGCGACTATGTAGGACGGTATGAGAAATTAATGAAAGAATACCACCACCTACCACGGCATAGTGATGCTTACACAGCAAATACTATGTGCGCAGCGTGCCGAGGGAGGAAAAAAAAGGGTGAAAACGCAGGCTACGGTTTAAGAGAATCTTTTTTTTTCTTGTCGAGGTGAAAATATAAGGGTGGAGCAATTTTCTTCTTTATTTTATGGGGGGGGGGGGGGGTAATTTATCGGTATTCGATGATCAGGAGCGAACGCAGGAAAACATTTCGGAAGGGGCTTAAAAATATTTAAAATGTTTATAAACAGCATACTTTATTATTCATTATATAATTACATATATACATTGATTTCAGAATAACAACCAATGCCTCGGAACGTGAAGCTTATGTATTTATATATTAGAACTT